ATGAATGCCGCTCAAAGGAATAAGCACGGCAAAAATTGTAACAGTGAAGGCGTGATAGGAGGATATATACGAAATGTGAATAGCCCAGGGCAGCAGGCGAGATACCACAACTGTTTAGCACACGTTTGATCAAAGGATCGGCTTAACTTGTCTCTTTGACGAGTTCGTAGCACGATGCGGAGAATGGCAAAACTCACTGATGATGCCGGCGAAACGTTTGAGAATGTACCAAGTCCACTGTCTGATGCTAGGAATCATGAAAACTACTATGGCAGACGACTTCGGACTTGGTACGTTCTACTATGTCGCCCTGACAACAAGACCAAGTTGCTACAACGTGGTCAACCCACTTCTTTAAACTGTGCGTTTGCAAAAGCCTTGCCAAAATAATTTCTATCAGGAATCAATTTTGGGATTTAGAATGATTATTTTTTACCTGTTAAATGCCTATATCTTGGCAATTTTATTTCCTAAGCCTTATCTCTATGATCTTTTGACAAGTTCACTTGCCCACTCTCTGTTTATTTAGCGCTCAAGAACTCACACCACTGAGACGGAAAGTGGAATGTCAGGAGGAATGGACCACGGGCACTGGCATTCAGGTGATAGCAATGATTATGGAAGTGATCACGAACACGTAACTTCGCACGAAAACGGTCATGGTGCACAGGGTAAAGAAGGAAGTGGAAATAAAAAGAAGGGGCATGGACATGGACATTCGCACGAGGTATCATATTTGTAACATAACTTTTCTTTCCTTACTTATAGTATTTCTTAGGTTTAACAAAAGAGAATTTTTATAAACTTTTATTATTTACTTATAAAATAAAGTATATTTTTACGTTTACCCTGAGTTCAAATAAGATTACTTAGGTAATATCATAATGCTCCACTATACATTCGGCATGATTTCGATTTTTTCCAATCTACCCCATAACTTACTTCGAGCATGCTTATAAGGAACCGGCACTACTATAACTAGTAGGTTAAAGCGTGACTCTGATTGCAACCTGTGGAAGATTCGGTGTTGACATCTTTAAATAAGTTTAAGTCATGAATCTAAGGCAAAATCAGGCCTGACAAAGTCTGGATGACGGCCCTTTATCTCCTCTTTTAATTTCCTAAGATTTGCTTCAGCTACGAATTTCATCAAAATTAGACTTATTTTAAAATTCAGGTATTCTGAATGAACATTACATTACTTTGCTAGATAAACAAGTAAAAGGTAGGGAGCTGTTTTAAAAGTTCATATCTGCTCATTTATTTAAAAAACATGAGTGGTTTAGGTGCTTCAAAATTTTTTAAAACGACGCTAATTAGCAGGCAGTAGTGAGGAACAGTGCTACAAAAAACTCACATAAGTAGCAGAAATCATTACACTTATAGTTGGTCCCCTGCCATCATGCATGCAAGGTAGCTTTGAAGGATTGTCCCTATGGGTGGTTTTGCTATT